ATGTATCACCTCATCCACAAGGCACCTCGAACATACATCGAACCAATAGTTAATACTAGTTAGGTTCTTCCCAGTTATTCCCATTGTAGCTGGACGCTTATAGGTACGCTCACGATATCAAATTATCATTATTGATTGTAGATGTTAAAAAGTATAAATACCATTGTTTTATTCATTGTAAATAAAGATATCATATATTTCAGTCTCACTGACTTATTGTCCTTTTTCTATTCTCTTCTCATCTTATTAGTTTTTGTCTCTTACCTTTGTACTTGGCAAAACACTAACTATGCTTATTAAATTATATAAATAGCTCCATTGTGATGCTTCAATACCATTCTAAAAAATAATAAAGATCGTCTAAATTCGAACGTTAATGAAGATGAGATAAAGGATGCGGTAACAGGCTTTTCAAGCCACACTTTGTTTTCAGTAATATATTGTCTATACCCTTATTCCTTTCTATGTCGCATTGTTATTTTTTTTTTTTTTTTTTTTTTGAAATGTGGTTGTTTGGACCTGAAAATCACTATTTGAAAAACCTTTTATACAAAGGGCGGGGACTTATCACATCCTTTGTCTTGCCTTCGGATGTGGTAGTTTTTTGCGTAAGCTCATTTGACGGAGTAATTGCAACTGATGCAATCGTTTTACCTTCTAGATGTCGCTGTAGGGGATGTAGGTAATATCATTCAATTACGTCCGTGCGAAGATCCCGATTGGTGAGTTGTTTTAGTTTTTGAACACCAATTCCCATCATATAAGTCTTGGTACTTGCAACAGATCTTGTTGAATGGGCTTTGAGCTGTGTTGTGTCTATACCCGCTTCTTTAACCCAATTGGCCACAGTCGATAGTGAAGCAGGTTCTGGGTTCTTCTCTTCGCGCTGAATATACTCTAGAAGGAGAGTATGATCTTGGAAAGCCCTCTCGAAGTTGTTGTACCTTCTCACAGAAGCCACATAGCGTTCATACAGGGTAAAGCTGTCGGTCATCAAGATATCTCATTGTGGATTGTTTGGCTGGTCTTTCTTTGGGTCTTCTCAACAAAAAGGCCTGTTTGTGCCGTCCTGAAGCATAGAGTCAATGTCACGCCACTGGAGTTTCCCTAAATCCAAGCAAGATCTCCACATGGCGCCAAGACATAACAAGATAGCTGCTTGCTTTTGGAGAGTACCCAACGATAGGTTGTCATTCTTTTCCCAGTTTTCTTGTATAAACGTAACTATCACGGTAGGGTCCCAGACTTTGCAATGCTTACGAAGTATTCCCAATTTCATGTTCTTCACAAACTTAAAAAAGCCTTGGGCAAAAATATCATTTGTCAAACCCCCTTCATCGAGGTGAATCAGGTTGAAAACTGAAGTTAAGCCAGAGCGAATTTCTTTTAAATGAGAACGGGTGAAGTATTGTAAGGAAGTGAGATAGCGCACGTTGTCTTGAGCATTTGCTGTCAAAGGGCCAATATCCTGGGCGTAGCGCCATCTTACCCAATTCTTCCAATATTCATTATAAGTTCACTACAATGACAAACGGTCCTTTTATCTTAAAACGTTTACCACTTCAAGTGACAACCTTTACTTCTTTCGGTAGTAATCGATAACCTTCATGTGATCAATGATGCCGAATCTTGTTGTAACTTCGGTAGCATTATTGGATTTTTCTTGGTCAGTGGTAGGATCGTCGGCCACCATGCTTGCGTTGACCATCATGGCGTGACAAGAACTGCCGATTTTATTTGGTTCATCTTCAATTTGTGAATTACCTTGAGGAGTAACTTCCAAAATGGGTTCAAAAACAACTCCTTCCTCGGTTACTGCTGCTCGAACGCATTTACTACAAACAAAAGCTGTGGGTTCTTATTCATTCCGGACTTATTCCCCAACCTGAGTTGGAAGTGTCCACGAAAATGGCGAAGTTTGGTCTCGGCAATTCTTCCAGTTTGCTGTTGTCTGTGTATATAGGCAATCCCAATTTCGTTTTGAACTCTTCGTCAGCTACCATTCTAGATTCTGCTGCTAGCCTGGAGGCAGATGACATGGAACTTCCCAACCCTGTCGTTGTTGGTGTAGGTTCCTGGCTAGGTCCTTTTGAAAGAAGCATACATGTAGGAGCGTATCTCTCATCGTTGGAATCGTTGCAGTAATTTTCCCAATTAAGCTTGCTAACCAACGGCATGACTCCCTCGTTGATGACTTCGACAATTGTTTGACCTGACTTGCTAGTTTCTTCATCTTCGTAATAGAGACCGAGATAGTCATCGTCTTCGTATTGAATTGGAAGCCTAAGAGACCTTGTACCTTCTCCAGCATCAGTTTGCTTTTGAAATAATTGACGATGAACCCTAGCCTGTTCAGATGAGCTAACATTGCCTGAATATTCTTGCACCTTTCTTCTTTCGCCCTTGCTAAGAGACAAATATCGTCCAGATAGTATACTGTTCGAATTCCTTGAATACTTAATGGTTCCGTCACAAACTTCATGAGTTTAGAAAAAATTTTGGAGTAACATTCATACCAAATGGTAAAGACTTGTATTGATAAAACATACCATAGTGAAGGAAAGATAGGTATTGATGTGATTCCGAATGGATAAGAACCACCGTGTATGCGTCCTTCAGGTCGATCTTGCACATCCAGTCTTCCGTTTCTATCAAATCTCGCACTATAAGCACGCCTTCCATCTTGAAGTGTTGACACTGTATAAATTGATTTATTCTTTGACAATTCAGAATAGGACCTTGTCCTTTTATCTTACAGAAATCATCTGCAATAAGACGTCTTGGTTTTGTGTGAGAGACCTTTCGATGATGTCTGGGCTCAAGAATTGATCGACTGCCTTGTTACCATAACTAAAATCTGCAATTCAATGAAGATCGAAAAAGAGGTTGATGTTGAATTTGTCCATATGTTCGAGCAGAGAGCAAATTCCAATTGTTCAAAAAGCCAATAAACGATTTGAAATAAGCCATTAATGCTGCTTTTATGACTATTTAATAATGAATATACTTTGTATTATACGGCCTCGAACTGAGAAAAAGCACAGTGCGTTCGTTTTTAGCATTTTTGCTTTGATTCAACTAGAAGGGCTTCATGAATGATGTAACATTTTATTATCTTCGAATGCGCAATGGTTACTACTCCCCCTTGCAATAAAGCTGTCAACATCAACTGCAATGGTGTCAGGAGTTGCCTACTTTTTCATGCAAAATAGAGATAATAAGAATAATGAAAATAAGGGCGTTACTGGAATAATGAAAAAATAAGGGCGATATAAAAAACAAAACAGGAAGAACAAGGAAGACAGGGAGTGTTATTTTCTTCTGTTAGGATGTCTTCATGAAATAAATGATCATAAAACGCTCATAATTCCTGCAAGTAATACGTTCGAGGATCACCGCTCACATGACAAGAATGAAAACAAAAAAAAGGCATTGAAGGTTAAGAATGAGCACTTTTTATTATTGGCTAAGAGGTAAGTAGGGCATGCATCATAATCACAGTCAATTACTGGAAATGACGCATAAGAGCATATGTTACTGAATAGCAGTTGAAGGGTCAAAAGGACGAATAGAAGATAATGTGGGGCTCACCTCAGTTGATAAAAGATTTAATACGGAAATTAGGTGCTTTTTCTTAAAGGTATATTAATCCTTTTATAATGCTTTACTTGTAAGCATCGTATTGCTATTAATGCACCCCTCAGGTATATTCTCCTTTCATTGACCGCTCTTTTCTCTTCATGCTTAATCTTATAGTATTTTGTGATACACTCACACTCGAATATAAATGCAGTAGGTTATTTTCTTCTAATATATTCAGCATTTAATACTTTTAACATTAATTCGAAATGAAGGCTTACTCTTTTACTGTTCTTTTTGCTCTCTGCCTTTCCATGACCATATCTAACGCTGAAGGTCATGACTCAGATACGCCCACTCGTAGGTCGTTCGACCATTGCTCATATACTTGTGCCACTTTTCGACATAAATGCGGTCCAAGATGGGAGCTAGTTAAATTTGAAGCATGTTGGGTTTGCTGTAAAATCTAATTTGGTACACAACAAGCTTTTGTAAACAGAATAGTCTGCTATCTTTAAAATAAAATGAAGCGTTTCATAAGATTAATTGATATTCTTCTTTTTATAAGCTGCAAATACTAGATCCATATCACTTGCATCCATTTCAAAGCTACTATTGGTTAACTTTATTCAAGAAACTGATCGTGCGAGGTTTTTGGTTTTGAAGGTATAATGAACCTTTGATATATCAAGGGTCCAATTCACTGATAGTATCATGTAAATGAACTATGACAGGCATATTGATAAACTCAAGTTTTATTAGTGTAGTATCACACTTTGATTATCAGGAACATAGCATACACTAATACACGTGAAAAAAACGACGCCTTTTTAGTCAAGACAGTCAATTTCTGTTTTTAATATTAAGCTACGGAAGGCGCAAATATCCCTTTAACAAGACTTGTTCTTCTCCCTTTGTCATATTTTCTCCTCAAAACTATTAAATCAAACTGAAGAGCATCGCAATAAAGGGATTTCACAAAAAGAAATTTGAAAATAAAGTGATCGCAATAAGTAAATAGGCAGGCACACAATATAAAAAAAGCCGTGCATTGTAGAGTAATCGAGCATATCAAAGCAGCTTTGCTTGATTCAGATGGTTTATGTTGTAATGGGTTTATAAAATATATACCTAGGTAGATTCAAGGCTGTCCCCTCCTATAACCATCATAATTCAAGAATACATATTTTTTTTTTTTCACTCTTAACTAGATGGTTCTTGAATCATGCGGGCCTGAAAATAATCTGCTGTAAAATAAAACTCAATGTCCGCAAAAGAGGAGTTACAAAATTCATGTTGTCTTGTACAATGGCAATGTCATGATGACACCATGATGAGTTATTCACCATGTGGAATTGCTTATTTTGTTGTTGGACCCAGGCAAATTAACTGCACCATTCATTAATCCCCGTGATCTGTCTTTTCTCCTTTTTTATTCTTCTATTCTTCAAGGCCACATAAAAATATCCTTTTTATTCTTATTTCTTTCTCTTTTTCTCCTTTCCTTTAATTAATAATTGTGCGTGTGTGTGTCTTTTCTTATGCTTGAAAGAAAGAAATCTGCCAAATTAAAAAGCTTGTTTCGTCCACAGCAACAAGAGTCATTAACTTACAATCGAAAAACTGCTGGTCAGTTAAAAATATCTTCTCCCGTACTTCAGCATTCGTCTTCTATCTATTCCCTTGTTTCACCTATCAGAACCACGTTCTCTAATTATGATCAGCCTATATCTCCTTCTCCCCTTTCAAGAAGAAGACCTGAACGCCCTGTGATTGAAGAAAGTTATGTGAAAGCCAAGACATCTGCCAGTAATCGTCGTCACTCTTGTTCGTCTACCGTAATCTATAGTGATATTGAGGATGATAAAAAACCCAAATCGACCTTTAAATGCAAATTGCGGGATCGACGTCGCAGTAGTACGAAAAGCGGAAGTTCTTCAGCAGCTGCATCAGTCGTGTCGATTGAGCCATGTATTAGTAAATCAACACCACTCTTACATAAAGTAAAGACATATAATGTTGGTAAAAAAGAATTGACTCAAGACGAATTGGAAAAACAAAGAAAGATGAAAGAATTGGAAGATTTAATCACAAGTCGTCGAGGAAGCACCCTCAAGTTAACATTGACGCCCAAAGGATTATAGCAAACTATATATATATATATATATATATATATATTTACATTTATACATATACACCTTTGTCCCTCCCTCTATTCTATTCTATATACATACGCTTTTTTTTATTTTATTTACTACTTAATATTATCTCTATGTTTAACTACTTTTTATAATAATAAAATAACTTTATTATTATGTAATCAACACACAGACACGTAACTTACGGATGATGTGTTATTCCGCTATGAGTTTTTACTTTTATCCATGAAATCATAAAATGCCTTCTGAGGTAACTCCACATTGCCGATCATCTTCATTCTCTTCTTGCCTTCCTTTTGCTTTTGTAATAATTTCATTTTTCTAGACACATCTCCACCATACTAAAAAAATAAATAAATAACAAACGATCCAATAGGTTTATCTTACTTACGCATTTGGCTGTAACGTTCTTTCGTAGCGCAGGAATACTGATAATATAATTAATACAAGGTTATTGCCTATTTATGATTCAAACTCCTTACGTTTCTCTTGCAATGATTCTTGTACCTAAAGCAGTCTGAATAGATATCTCAAACAACTGCTTTTGAATAACATCTTTTAGTCGTTTGACCCAATCACGACCAACAAACTCTGCTTGTGAGCGATGAAGAATGACAGATAATGCATCAACTGGTTTAGAGTTTAAGAGTACAGACATCTTTTTGTTATGAATTGAGTAAAGCTAGTTTTATGACTATATTTGTAACAAACCTTGACTAGATCACTGTCCTCATAGCCTGCTTCCTCATAGTCAAACGAGGCATAACCTGACGATCGGCTTTTGAGTTCATCATAGAAATCTGTCACTATTTCAGCCAGTGGTAATCTGTACTTCATCATGACACGTGTTTCATCCACATATGTATACTCTAATTGTTCACCTCGTCTACTCTATTCGATAATCTAAATAAGCATTCTATTGAAACTTGTCTTCACTTACTCCGCATAGCTCAATCAGTTTACCCATGTATTCCTACTCTATTTAATATATGCATCTACAACATAGTGTGGACTTACATCAGGAAAGATCAAGGTTGCTAAGACCATTGGTTCTTGAAATTTGGATACTCTAAGTGATCGTTCGTCCATATCTGGGAAATCGGAAGGATTTCTTACCAATTTGGATGTACCATCCTTGTAGATGACTTTTTCAATGTTAGACATGAACTGGTTCGATACCATGGTTTCAATTACCTTTGTATGGTACAGTAGGCTGCGTGACAATGATGTTGGCATCATATTCCTAAAGCATATTAGATGAAATAAAAACAGGATATACTTTACCACTTACATTTTCTAGTCTTTGTCTAAACACATCCATATGTAGCGTGCCAAGAAACCCCAATCGCCATCCTTGGCCAAGCGCATGGCTTGTTTCCTTATGTACACTCACACTTGCGTCATTCAAGGTCAATTTTCTGATATTATCGTCTAATTTACGGAAATCATTCGTGTCCACGGGAAAAATACCAGCAAATACCATTGATTGTGCAGGCTGAAAGCCAGGCAAGACATCTACCTTTTGTCCTACATGATAAAATGTGTCGCCAATATGCGCTTCAGAGGCACTCTTCATACCACAGATAATGTATCCTACTTGACCCGCATGTCTAAATACACACAAGTTAGAACAAGTCATGCTTAGTATTTATGGTTACTTTACAGATAGCCTGTAGGCACTTGCTCTGGATGCATAATGCCAACCTCTGTCACTTCATATTTAGTATCCGAATGGGCAGATATGATCTTATCTCCCTTTCGAATCACACCATCCTTCACACCCAGCATGCAAACAACGCCGACGTATTGATCATACCATGAGTCAAACAAAAGGGCTCTGAAAGGCTTCTCTATCTCCCCTATAGGTGGTGGTACTTTCTCGATGACGTTGGGTAATACTTTATCAATGTTGATTCCAGACTTCGCAGAGATCTATTTTTCTTTGTGAGATTCCCATTATCTTTTGTATGAATAAGCCTTACCTGTAATATAGAGGATGTATCTAGTTCGAATGCGCTTTGAATCTGTCGTTTCACTCGTTCAGGTTCTGCTCCAGGAAGATCAATCTAATAAAATGGTTGGTATACATGTATGTGTGTCTATTTTTCTTATTACTTTATTTAGTATGGGTATAATCTCTAAACCTTCACCATAGGCCAAGTAAAAATTTGCCACGGTCTGTGCTTGAATGCCCTGAGCGGCATCAACGAGTAGAATAGTACCTTGACATGCCGCCAAGGAACGTGACACTTCATAACTGAAATCCACATGGCCTGGTGTATCAATTAAATTTAGCAGGTACTCTTTCCCTTTATATTGATAAAACATGGATACAGTCTAAGATATATAATTAGATAGCTTCTTGTATTTCTTTTTTCTTTTTTTTACTTGTGCTTTCACCGTAATTCCTCGTTCTCTTTCCACTTTTAATTTATCAAGTACTTGTTTGTTTGATCCCGTCTTTGATATCGTGTTTGTGAATTCTAATAGTCTATCATCTAGTTGAGTCTATTGTTTCCTTTTTTTTATATACGTTATTTACCTATCTGCTAGTGTGCTCTTTCCATGATCTATAATAATAAAAAGTGAATATACACACAATAGACTAAAAATAGACTATTACCAATATGCGCAATAATACTAAAATTTCTAATATTTTCTGCTGGAAAATGTGTCAAGTCAATATTCTTACTCGGGTTTGCGCTTTTCAATTTCTATTGTACGTTGTCAGTTATTTTGTTTTTCTAAAAAGGCGTTTCCACTTTTTATACTTCGGTGGTGCTTTTCGAATTCCATCGCTTATGGCATGAAAGTAATATACTAGACTTGTTGTATAGTTTAGTTGGAAAATGACCAGGTAGTCTCCTAAGTAGCAAGCCTGTGCTCATTGAGTTGGAATTTCTAGAGGGGGAAATGTCAATGGTAATAATAATAATAATCCCTGAACATTTTAATTTGAAATTCGTGGCTTGTGTCATTTTCTTTGCTGATGTTGAAATCGCTTTTTAATGCAGCTCTTCAAAAGCAAATCTATCCCAAAAGACTTCCCTTTAACTGTCTGCGAAAAAAGGGTAAAATAGGAGGACACGGATTGATGTCTATTAAAGTCAATTATAAAGATTGATTCAATTTGTTTATTGATATATAAGAAGAATGCAGAGACAGTAGAGAGTCTATTTTGCTTTTGCTGATGCTGATGCATTAGTATTGTTTGTCTTTTGGCTTGATTTAAGTCCAGCACGCGTATAGATTAATGTTCCAAGAACTACCATTGCAGTTCCCATTTGAGCACCAAACCCAAAATGGTTGTCAAAGTAGATGATAGAAATGATCAAGGAGGTAAATTTTCGTAGGTTGAGAACAAGGTTTAGTGTGAGTGAAGTAGCCACGGATGTCATTCGATTTACACCAGCAATACATGCATATCTAAAACAACATGAGTATTTGTTTCTCTATTATTTACACAACACACTTACTGGGTCACCATGTTCAAGATGAGATAAGCCCATAGTTTACGGATTTCAATGGTGTGCAAAACTGTCTTGATTATATCAGGGATATATGTAGCAATGGATCCAAGAACAGGTACTTCTTCCAAAATAACAGAGAGAGGCATCAAAGGTGACTTGTTATACTCTTGTACTTGACCAAGCAGATCTTTTGAAAATATAAGAAAGAAAGGCAGGGCAAGAAAGTGCTGTATATATTGTTAATATCTTTCTGCTTATTCATGTTTGTAACTTACAGTGTAGAATAAACCTTCTCGCCATTGCTTGCCATATTTTTTGTATGTCACTTCTTGGAATAATCCCATTCCGGCCGATAACACCATGGCAATAACAAGAAGCATAATGCCTGTGATGAATTCTGTTGTATTTCCTGTCTTGCTCTCGGCACTTGATGATGCGTTATCTAAAGTGGCCCAGATAACACCCGCGGTGACAAAGATAACACCTGTGATTTGGCCTACAGAGTATCTGTCTACTATTTAATACCAGTCTACGTAAGCTCAAAAAATAAGATAGACGTACCTTTTGCCCAAGATAAGAGTTCCTAAAATCATATTTACAATCAGTCCACCGCTTCTAAAAATAATATGCAAAGGCACTGATATATTGTATCCCAAGGCAATATTGTTCAACAAGGATACAATAAAAAACAATGTGACTAGGAACAACCAGTGTGTCAAGGGAACAACTGTCTTCTTTAGTCTCGGTCCGTATGTTCCCCAGGTGAGTTGGTGTCGTAATCCCTCTACTGCAACAAACAGGAATTGTCCAAAAGTGATTAACTGACCTACAGAAATGTCAGTTTTCTGTTTAAAGCATTTTTTATAATGCTTTATTTTATCTCTTACCGCTCCTTGGTGCGTCACTATATGCTTTAAAATGAGTTACTGTCCCGTTGAAATAAACAAAACACTTACGTGACAAGAACTTCCAAGGCAAAGACGTTGCTACAACAACCACCAAAGATTAACGACAAAATCATTGGCATATCAGATGCTATCATCTGTAGCAATGCTCTTGTAAATCCTGATGAATTATCCATGATTGAAAGCTGATCGTCAATATGAAAAAAAGAAAAAGAAGAAGAGGCCTAAGATCGACCGTTATAATAATGCTGTTTGAAATTAAAAGTCACGCATTAACTTTTGCAAAAGGGGAAAGTATGGCGGGACGGTTAATCTTATCCGGACTGGATTTTAAAAAGATGAAGCCGGCTGTTCTTCGGAAAGTGAGAAAGAAAGGGGACAGGGGGAAAATAAGTATGCAAGAAAGGATGATGTACGCAAGTTGTGTATATTAAGCAGCCTTTTTCTATCGTTTGCTAGTTATTGTACCTGTATTTTACTATCTTCAGGTCTTTAATTGGAATAAGTGATGTAACATTATGAACAAGTCTAATAGAAGGGCAGGGGGAGATACGGTGATCGGATTGAGTATTGATCCGATAGACAAGAAGCACGCTGAAAACGGGGCCGTGGTTCTCTAAGCCATGCTTTATTTCTCTTCTTGCTAATCAAATAAAGCTTGCATCTTTTCTGTATGACATATGCAACTTTATGCCGAAACATATTTATCTAACAGACCGCTGATCATTTTGATGCCGCGTTTCTCTTTCTTGTTTTCGGGGCCAGCAGCATTGTTTGTCGTGTTCAAGACGATCCTTGATGACTCTCCGTAAGCTAAAAAGGCTGTACTATATTTGTACAACTTTTCTGTTTGTTGATACTGTGCCTCCACTCTCAATTTACCCGATGTTTGAAAGTACTACCCGCTTTTTTGAATGCTTTTAGACATTATGTGCAATTCATCAGTGATATGTTAGACATTATGGACGAATTTCCCAATATGAAAGGATCCCATATTGTTATGGACAATGTCCCGTCCTTCCTGAAACTGCTGATCCTCGTTGTGTCTGAAATCAAGAGTTGTTTCTTATGGTAGGCAATAGATTAGTAAAAATACCAAAATTATCAGAACGAATAGACGTTCCAAAGGAGGTTCATAATGGTCATGGTCATTTTGGTCAAGATACAACATGGGAAAAATTATATGCCAGCTATTGGTGGCCACAGGCGTATAAATATGTGGCTTCCTGTGGAGAATATCAAATCTTTGCCAATGTTCCAAAGAAGGTTTCATTCTTGGGAAATATCCCAGTGCACTCTTATTTGAACGATTTGGTATGGATTATGAAGGTTCATTTCCTTAAAATAAGGAAGGGAAACTTGTGCGTTATTATGGCAGTCGAGTACGTTACGAACTGGTCGTGTGCCAAAGCAGTTCCGTAAAACTAATGGAGAAGCTACAGTCAAATTTTTATATGAAGAAATTTGTAGTATCCACGCTAGATCATTGTAAATATAAGTAATTTGATTACTGAGACCCTAAGTGTGATGATTGGGAAAAAGAGAGTTCTTTTGACACTAGTATTCTCTTGGTTGTAAACTCGATTCTCGTGGCAGCATAATTTAAGCGGTAACTCTTTCCTTTCCTTATTTGGATGAGTACACTTATTTTGTTGTCGTTGCCCATGTTATGCAAGCGAAGTTCCTGTGATTTTGGAAGAAGTTGTAGAATTTTTAGTTGAGGCTCATCTGGCACATGGGTAGGAAGGAAAAGAGATTCTGGACGTGATACTTAGGATGCATTAGGCGAGTCGTGATGATGAATGAAATCTGGAGTTGAATGTCACGGCGTGGCCAGCGTCTAGGATTCTCTATTGTTTATATCTGTCAATTGAAATTCTGGCCCTTAATAGAGTTTATCAACCATTGTTATAACCCAAATAGGCTTAAATCCATTAATATATTTTTGATGTGCCCAAGCACATCATTCAACTAATTATAGAGGAAGTGCTGCCTATCAATCGAGACTTCAAGATGTGCTGGACATTGTACCCTTTTTGGTCTAAGGCAGTGTATACTAAAGGCATCAGTCATTCTATGGTTTCCAATTGTTGTTGTCATAGGTTTTGCTGGCACTAACCGTATACGATTTTATTTTATATAAAAACTCACTTGCTGTTTAGCTTGATATTTTCCCTAAATAATAGCTGTGCGGTCGTCGTTCACATTTGAAAGGGATCAACACTGCATGAGCCAGTCAGTGAAGGGAAATGTACAACAGGTAATTCTTGTTCTATCAGCCTCAGGATTTATGAAACAAGTATTACAGTAGTCTTGTTTAATAAAGCCAAGAGACAGCTTTCATATAAAGCAACGTTGGTAATTACTGCACTAACTGTCAATGCTTCTCTTTGCGTACTTGTGGATACAAGGCTTTGAAGTGTTATTCTATGTTTATTTACAATTTAAGCTTATGCAAATCGTTTTCTTTCTCTCTTTTTTTTTTCTCTTGCTTAGAGGAGGGGAATATTCATTCATTTCTCTGATTTATTCATCATCATCTAGTTTATAAGAGGATTGTTGAACATTTTTACCCTTTATTTTTTCGTGCTTTTTGGCCTATTGTAACTTTAATGAGACACAGTGTTTGCTTGTTATGTTCAAACTTACTCTTTCTTCTGCTAATCGCTTATTCTTTTCCTTTAACTTTTCTTTACGTGCATCACTCTTACTTCCTCCTCCACCGGCAGTCAATTCCACATTGATTTGTCTCTTTTTGAAGAATGTATGATGAAAAGCTAATGCTTTCTATATTAAAAGGAGGGTAAATGCTTTATCTTAATCTTGCTACTCTATCTTACATTCATATCTTTTGCGTTTTCAAATTCCATGAATGCAAATCCTTTTGGCTTCCCCGTTGCTTTATCAGTCAGTAAACGAATCGACTTGATTTTTTCAATAGTTGAAAAGTGCTTTTGAAGGTCTTCTTTGGTCGTCGTGAAGGGTAAGTTGCCAACAAATACAATATATCGAGAATCCGCATGCTTATTGCTATCTTCACTCTTTTTACTCTTTTTCTTTACAGGTTCTTTATCTTCAGCTGGCACGTCAATAGTTACTGCCTCTTGAGAATCAACGGCCTTTCGCTTACGATCACTCTGTGGTTGCTCGATCTCGGGAACTTCATCAGGCTGAGGAATTGCATTTTCTTCTGTGATCTCTTGATTCTTTTTCGCACGCTTCTTAAATGCTTGGGCTTTCTTTTCACGTTTGGTTAACTTTTTGTCAGGACTCATTGGAAGAAATAAAGATCAAAACTTTTTTTTTGTAATTGAACTCATTGAATCCAACATTTGGCAGTCACGTATGGTGATTGAAGTGGTTGACTTTCTTCTTTTCCAAGGGCCTGCCGTTTTTCTTTAAAAATAAAATGTGGAGTAATAGATTAGTACAGTTTACGAGAGGAGGCAGTCATATCCGACAATGTGTGATAAAGAAATGGTTGACGACAGAAGCAGCCTCGACAGAAAAAAAGCCAATTCAACAGATATACACAACAAGAAAAAGAAAGTTCAATTTTGGTACAGCACTTTTGTGCACTATTCCCTTCATAACATTTGGACTTGGCACATGGCAGGTTCAAAGACTTCGTTGGAAGGTTCAGTTGATCAGCACTCTTGAGGACCGCTTACATCGAGAACCGATTCCTTTACCCAAACGTATAAAGTAAGAAAGACACAATTGTAGTAACCTGAGGACAAGTTATATAATACGATTAGATAGCCCTGATATTTTAGAAGAATATGAGTACCGTAAAGTCTATGTCAAGGGACATTATAGACATGATCAGGAAATATTGTTAGGCCCCAGAACGAGAGGAGACGGCAATGCGGGTTACTTTATTATTACACCCTTAGAAAGAGATAACGGTACGACTATCCTTGTCAAAAGAGGATGGGTTCCCTCCGACAAAAGAGACCAGAGGACCCGGCCTGAGAGTCTAGAGACAGGAGAAGTCGAAGTGATTGGTTTAATACGTATAAATGAAGAAAAGAATTCGTTTACACCCGACAATGAAATTGAGCGCAATCAGTGGTACTGGGCAGACGTTGACACGATGGCCAAGTTAACGAATGCACAACCTGTCATGATTGAAAGAGTATCAGGTACAATATGAAGAAAGATAGATTAAAGAGTGTCGGCTAAATTGTGATATTTTTTAGATATATCGCCTTATAAAGAGCACGTTCTCATTGACAAGGGGGTGCCTGTTGGTAGACCGCCTACTGTAGAAGTTCGTAATAGTCATTTGAATTACTTGATCACTTGGTACTCTTTATCATTTGCAACCAGTATTATGCTCTGGAGAGTACTAAGACGCCCTCCTGCTTTACCTACTAAAGCCAAAAGATGGGGGGTATAAATAAATAAGTTTTTATTATTAGTCTTCTTGTAAATCTAGTTCTGTGCTTCTTTTATAAAGTACACTTTTCAGCTCATGGACCATTGTCTCTGAATCTATTTTTTCAGCGCGTTTTTCTGCCTAGATGAAACATATTACAACTTAAGCTCCAACGCCATGTGTTCTGTATGTACCTCTTGAGCTCGCTTTAGCTTCATTTCTTGAATTCGTTCATCTCGAGATTTTTTTGGTCTTTCTTTCCCATTCTTTTCTACCACACCAGCAATAGCCTCATACACTGAAGCCTTTGAAGGTAGATTGAGAATATCAGCAACGTCTTCTGAATCGAGAATGATGCCCTTGCCTTCAGACTCATCTTGAATTTCCTCTTCCTCTATCTCTGCGGATTCAGCAGCCTTCGTCTCTTCTTTTGCAACTGTAGCTGATGGTAATTCCAAATAGGATTGAAGTGCTTCTTTTCCATTTTCCCATTCCAACAGCATATTTTGAAATACCTTTTGCACAGATAAATAGTCGCTGAGTAACTTTTCTTTCGTCTCCTCGGCTGATTCGGGACTCAGTTGCCGCACGCTTTCGTTACATAAATAAACCTTTGCCTCCAGTGTCCGTAATTCTTGTTCGAGAGAGGATAATCGATGGATGAACAATTTTAATCGAGAGTCCATGATCTTGCTGGTCTTTGTATCAAATGTGTTGATTGGTTTATCTATTTACCCATACATCAGTATATCAACAAATATAAAAAAGTGCTACTTACAAAACTCAGCGTCCAGGGCCTCCACCATTTCTTTTGTAAAGTTCTCGATTTCCTTTAAAAAATGGTTCAAGATGTCATTGACTATTTTCCAACCGTGATGATCAATGTCAGTACCTAAAGCGAGGAAATGAACCATACACTCCCTTCGTTTGAGATGCATAATCTGTGTCAATTTTTTCAATTGATCGAGACTGTACGAATCCTCACTACTATCGACGGCGGAAAGGGAAGCAATCGAGTGAACATTGTACATTTCGAAAAGACTGAGTAGATGTTCCTTATCGATCACGTTCACCAAGTCAATGATGCCTTCTTCGTAGACGATAAATGCTCTTCTTAGAATAGATGCTAACCGGCTTCTCAGATGAACACATTTTCTTTGTTTACTGTTTTGTTCGATGCGGGATATTGGAGATAAGGGTGTAGACAGTCGGTAGCCTCTGGATACGAGCTCGATTTCTTGTATGGTGATGAGTACTCGTTGCACTTTTGTATCAAACGTATCACACTGTTCAATGAAAGATTGCAGTTTGGACAAAATTGATTGATAAAGCTGTCGGATCGATGAGCGTCGTTTGTGCCTGTAGATGTAGAATAGTGACGCCGATGTGGAACAGGCGAGTGTCATGAGTGGAATACGCGGACGAAAGGTATACCGCTCAACTCCGAAGAGTAGCATCAACGTAGCAACCAGGTTGGTGGTGACACCTAATTTAGTCGCCCCGTTCGTTTGAAAAGTGAGGTGTTCCGTGAACCGGTGCCTTTGCTTATTATGATGGAATGTGAGCACTTCATTCAGAAGAGGTGACGTGACAACCAGATACTTGAATTTTTCTTCAAAGGCTGCTTCTTCGGTCTTGGGAAGTGAAATTGAGAATGCATCCTAAATGAAGTGTTATTATTATGCTTCCTTTTTCGTGCATATGTTTTTCTCTCCCCGTCCTGCTGACTTGTATGTAAATATTTACGTGAAATATGGAATGTCTCCACATGCGTGAAATGCTTGGTCTTTTGCTAATAGAGCTGTCATTTGTCTTATTGTTTGTAAGGTTAAGTGGAGCCACTTTTACTGTCGTTTCTGGTTTATCAACAGCTATTATTTTTTCATAGAGTTAGTTATGTTTTGAATAGGCTATCT